TCCATCCTTTCCCTCTCTTTCTTCTCTCTCTCTCTCTCTCTCTCTCTCTCTCTCTCTTTCTTTCTTTTTCTCCTGTTTTTGGTTTTCTGAGACAGGGTTTCCCTGTGTAGCCCTGGTTGTCCTGGAACTTGCTTTGTAGACCAGGCTGGTTTTGAACTCAGAGATCTGCCTGCCTCTGCTTCTCAAGTGCTGGGACTAAAGGCTTGCGCCACTGTCACCTAATTCAACCTGTACTTCCTTAAGCTGCACGAATGGTCTGCATAAGGACTGGAGCCATAAAGAGTTAACCTAGAAGTTAATGTACTCCCAAATGTACTCCGTGGCTCCGTGGCGGTGTCTTCATCTCAGCAAACTGCTAGAGAGGCTATTGGGGGAAAAGGTCATTTTAGAATGTGTGGCAGAATGGTGGGCATTTTTTTTTTGGTATGGGAAGTCCATTCTAGGAATAGCAATATCCTGACATTCAAGCCAAACAGTACTAAATGTGCTCAGGAGATGTCTGCAGTTTAAAGAAGAAACTCATTTTCTCTCAATAACTTCACGATGCTGCACAGCTCAGCAATGAGGTCAGAAGACGCCTCATAGCATCAAAGACTGTTACAAGAAGATACGGGACACTGGGATACAAGGCAAACTGTCCTCTTCAATTACAGCATCTCTGAACCCTAAGTACAATAGTCATTTCTTAGAGAAATAGCTGCCTTTAAATTTTTTATTGATGGCAGAAAAAAAATGACTAGACAAGGCCAGATCATTTGAGGTCAGTTTATATCCTATATACAACCTAGAGAGTGATGTAAACAGAGCAGTATGTCATAAAACCAAATGGGATACAAATAACCTCGCGCTGCCTCCTGCACAAGTTCAGATGAATTCAGTGACTTCTCTAGGCCATGGACAGCGAAGCACATGGTAGGTTTGATTTTTATTTGCCTTTCTTGTAGCCACAAATTCCCGGTGGCTGATAAATAAGGAGGCTTATCTCGTGATGAGACAGGACAAAATGAGATGCTTTCCTTGAGGTGGACTCTTTTGTGACGAACCAGAGGTCCCAGAGGTGTGTCTGGGAAACAGCCCGGCAGCTTGAAAGCCAGGCAAGCCGGCAGGACCTCTAAGGGCAGGATTAGAGAGCACTTGAGCAAACTCCACCTCCTGTGGCAAGGCAGCCTGTCTGTGCTAAGGAGAAACCACGCTTCCATAATCTACCAGAGCTCTTTGAAGGGTCAAATAAGAGTGTGGATAAAGGGGAAGCAGTAGACACAATCTATTTACACGTTCCAGAATCCTCGGAAAGCTCTGCACCAAAAGCCTGTCCAAAGAGCTGTCGCCATGGGGATGGGGAGAATGTCTGGTGACAAATAGGGAAATGGCTCTGAGATAAGAACTAAAGAGCAGAGATAAGTAAGTGTTTCTTTGGGTGTGGAAAAATGTTAACAGCGGGGCGGTTGCTGGGGAACTGATGTTTCTAGTGGCCGAGGTGAACGGGCCCTCATTGACTAGAGATGTGACCATCGGGTGATCCCTTGTTTGGTCAATCTCCTGCCTGCCACACAGCCATGTCTTATAAGTGGCTTTTTTTCGGATGTGTCTGTTTTGGTGGCATCTCCAGTGATAGGATAAACTTATACAAAGCAGGGGAGGTATATTCAACATGGTGACCGGCATCTGCTGACGACTAAGCGCTCTTCCAAGGAGGGGGATCTCAATTAGGAAATGTAAGATGCTAAAGATGGAGGAGGCTCCCGAGAGGCCCAAGATGCTCGACAGGGACAAAGGCAGACAAGTATCACGAAGGCTGTGTACTCTGCTCTGTTATGAACTGTGAGGAGCATGAGATACTGCTTTAGATAATAACAGCAAGATTACTCATTTTTATTTGTTTTTGCTTTTTGAGACAGACAGGGTTTCTCTGTGTAACAGCTCTGGATGTCCTGGAATTCACTCTGTAGACCAGGCTGGCCTTGAACTCACAGAGATCTGCCGGCCTCTGCCTCCCAAGTGCTGGGAGTAAGGGCCTGAGCCACCACTGCCTGGCCTCCCATAGGATTTTAATAGCCTTGATATCTGTTTAAATCTAGAGGGCCACAGACTGTTGTATTATCTAAGATTTTTTTTTTCCTAAGGGCCGAGTTTCATCAGAGACTAAGAGTTCTTTCAGGTGGAAGACACTTTATAAGGATATATGCTGTACAGTATCCCCTGAAAGTTTGGGCCAAAGCTGCCATTTCACCAAAACAACACAGCAACTAACTGCATATATAAAAATGGAGCTGGAGAGAGACGTTTACTCTTAAGCCTTCTCAAGGCAAGCCAGTCCGCCAGTGTGAAGGGGGGGGGCTCCTGATCTGTGCAATACTCCCCCCCCCCATGCTGCTGTCTATCATGGAGGGCTGGCAACAGTGCACCCACACCAACTTCCTCAGCCCTCTGACTGTAACTTGGGTTTGTCCTCTTGACAGGGGCCTGAGAAGAGACTATGAGGAGAACGCGCCTCTGTGTGAGGTCATGGCGTGCCACTGTTTGTGTTGGTCACTTCCTTTCCACCTGACTCTTGGGGGTTTTCCAGGTTCTGGCTCCCATCCCCCTCTTATAGTTCCAGACGGTGACAACTTTACTCTTACTTAACTCCCAGGTTTGTCACACCACTCTTGGGATTCCCCTACGCCATACCTTTGTCACTCACTGTATTTTATGGTCACCGTGCTGCTTCCTGTTGGGCCTTTGGATGCTGGAGTAGGGGTGTCTTGCCGGCACTCTGAGAAAGATGCAACCAGAGGAGAGCAGCCAGGCGGATGAAGAACGCTCGAAGGGAATTTTCAGAAGGATCCTGGTCTACCTCCTTCATATAGTTAGACTGATTATCAGTTTTTCCATGTGAGAGGAACATTAGCCAGAGGGAGGTGCATAGGAGTTGGGGGGTCCCTGAAGCAGACCTCAAATGGGTCCTTCAGCCCCTTTGGGGACATCCTCATTCCTTGTGTGTGATGATGCCAGAGAACTAGTCCTGGCTTTCCATCTATGGAGCAGCCCCTTAACGGTACGTTTGTAGTCTGTTGTCCCTTCCCTGTGGAGGGGCATGTATAAGTGGATCACTGGTCCTGTGGGTGACCCCAGCCTTCAAAGACCGCTATGCTGGGAGAGGAGATCGCAGACTTCTGGATACAGAAGCTAGGCTAGATCCTGGCTCTTCAGCTCTCCGGACAAACCCCCATCCCAGGATCGCCATGAGGATTAAAGAAAAAGTGCATGTAAGGGCAGCTGAGAACAATCTGAACGTCCTCCTTGTCAGTCAACTCTCTGTCTCTTGATCCGCGAGCAGGGGGCAACCATGTTTTACATGTTCTGGCCTCGGAATGAAAGCCAGAAACCATTGTCATGAACCGGGGGCGGGTGGGCACATTATCCCGAAGCCTCCTAATCCCATTTTCTGCTTTCACGTTAATCCTCTTCCAAGTTTTTTTCTGTCTGCCACACACTCAACTCCCAAGTCACTGGCCTGGGAGCTGGGCCTCACCTCGTCTAGTCAAAAGCTGTGCTTGCTTGGGGGTGGGGGTGGGCATCTCAGGCTGGACGGTGGATAGTCTGCTGTGCCTTGGTCCCTGCAGCAGCCCTGGGAGTTCTTTGTGAACAGATTATGGGCAAACATTGAGTGTTCCGCTAACTGATCATATACTACTGATAGTGTCTGCCACGATGATCAAAGCACTTACCGTTGGCTAACACTGCTTAGGACCTTTATGGACAGAATTTCATTCATTCCATTTTATTCCGATTATTATCAACCTAAAATTTGCAGACAAATAAACCCAGGGAAGTTATCTTAGCCAGATAACACAATGAACAAAGGCGGCATTTCCCAGGGCTGCTGGCCCATCTTGGCCTGGCTTTGGAGCCTCAAAGAGAACCACCAAGCTCCATTGCCTGTTCATGTTGCTTCTCCCTTCCTTGACTTTGAAACAGAGCCATAGTCCATGTCCAGCGGGTTTCCCTTCTCTGATGCCACCTGGGGCTTCGGTACTGTCTTTTCTCCACCCACAGCTCCTGCGTATCCACATGGGGTAGAACAAGTCTAGGGGCTGAAGAGAACAGGTCCTGGTGTTTGGAGGAAGAACGATATGAAGCAGGGCACAGAGAGATGGGTGGCCCTCTGGAGGGAAGAAAGCTGTTGCTTTAGCATAGTGATATACCTTTCTGGGCGAGCCATTGCCTTTGCGGCCCAGGCTCCAAATGGTTTTCTTTCGATCTTGCAGGACTAATTGTGGCCATTTCTGCCCACAGAGAGGGGTTCTGAGGCAACGCTCCCTAGTTTGAGGGAGAAACTACCTACTGTCCTGTCAGTAACCTCTGTGTGAATCTTTCTGGAAAAACGACCTGTTCTCTAACTAACCTGGATCTCCCTTACCCCGAGTCTGCCATTTTGCCTTGGGTATCCACATGTCCCTGCTAGATTTTTCTTGCAAATCCATAAAAACTGGCTGTTCTATAGACTCTTCCATCTCTCAGCTCTCCACACATTTCTTGCTTAGAGAAAGGCTCTAGAAGAGAAAAATGCTATGGACTTGTGGTGGGCGGTGGTGATGATGGGACATCCAGGGTGCACCAGGGAAAGCCAGACTGCTTGTAGGTTGTTAGGCTACCTCCTCCTCTCTTAATTATGTCTCCAGCAGTTAATAATAAAGATAGCAAGCATCCCATTACAAGGTTGACACTCTTGGGTTAAGGTTTTGTGTACAGAGAGTCAAAATGTGTTCAAATGAGAACCTCCTTGGGGAAAGACATCCACCCTCATGTCTTTGTTCTGAATTGACATGGAGGTTCATGCAGGAGACGGCCAGTACAGGAGAAGAGTCTGAGAACACACACGGCATGTTCACTGTTCGCCACGGAGACTGTACTCCTCAGAGTCATCATCCCCTGAGGCGCACAGCCCTAGTCAGATGCACTACAGACATAGCTGGGGCCGAGTAAAGAGCTTCTGAAGAACTCGTGGCTGAGGAGAATATTTGTCATGAAACACCATTTTATTAGTTGATTATTTTTTTTTACAAAAATAAACAATTTAATGAACAAGAAGTACAAAAGCTTCTGGAAATGCAAACTCCAGGAAGGGGAGGGCCTGGTTTTGGCTGCTTGGTGGCTTTCACTGAAAGCAAATGAGGCAGAAAGGCTCCGACCCTACCCCCATCCCAGGTCCTGGCTCAAATGCAATCTGCTCTTCCACCCTAGTCTCGGCTCATGTGGACATGTGCACCACTGCCCATGACCCCTGGGCTAGCCTAGGAGCAACCTCTAGGGAGAGGCCAGAGACAGCCTTCCCAGGTACTGGTTCACGCGCCATCTTGGAGCATCCATCCCGCAGCTCCCCTGTTGGAGCTGCGCTGAGAGCATGCTCTGTGGCTGATTGTCCCCATGCAGCTCCTGCCTACTGTGGCTGATGCAGCAGCAACAGCAGCGTTCTGGCTACATTCTCAAACCATGAATGCAGCGATGGGGCTGCCCATGGAACTGTCCCAGTTAAGACTAGCCTGAGCCCCGCTCGCAGCCCAGAGCTCTGGAGAGGCAGTCAGCTCCTAACCAGTGATGCCCAGGCTGGGAGCAACAGTCTCAGACCTAGGCTGGCAAGCTCACATTTTAACATCTTTGCATATTGCACGTTTGTCCTGGTCACATCAGTTGGTCTGGGATGACAGTTTTGTCTGCAGGGGTTCCCAGGTGATAACGCAACATCTTGAGTGCAAGTTACCCCCGCAGCAGACAAGTCCAGCTGGCAAAGATGCCAGATGGTCAGCTGAGCCCACAATCAGCCAGATGCCTTCACATATGTGGTCTTGCTGGCATCAGGGACCACTTGGCTCCATCCAGCCTTAAAAAAGACCAGCTTCCGACCTAGGGGCAAAGATGAGAGGTTACAGGTCTGGTTAATTGTCTCCTGGGCGGCAGGGCCACTCTCTATAAAGTGGCTACCTTGAAGGACTCATACACACATCTCTCTCACCATCTCTGCCTTCCCTTGAGCTTTTCTGAGGGGCTTCCTCTGCCTTTCCCATCCTTTGGAGCAGTCTAGCCACGCCTTTGGGACTCTCCCTCCCTCTGACTCACCTGTCCAGGTGGTCTGGTTGGTGACCACAAAGGCACGACACTGAGCATGGCTCTCACACACATCTACAGCCTCAGCCAGGTTGAACACAGACAGGAGGCAGCCGCCGTGGTGGTAGGACGGCCAGCAGCGGTAGTCCTCCTGGGTGATGGTACTATCTGGAATGCGCTGGTACTCTAAAGGATGGAGGGAAGAAAGTGAGAACAGTGTGCCTAGGGGCGAGGGCCGAGAACCTCTCGTTTGCAGGCCAGCACATCCGGAATGGAAACGAAGGCAGCCAGAGCTGCTCAAGCTCGCTGTACAGCCAGGCACAGACCTGAATTTCAGGACATACGCATCTCTTCGATTTAAGGCCATGTAGCTAGTTTAGACATCACAGGATATATGGGGGCCCATGTGGGCCAGGCACATACTCAGAGATACCAGCTGTCTAGGTTGGGCTCTGAGATCAGGCCATTTTTAAATATTTAGAACGGGGCTTCTCAAATATCATGGTACGTATGTATTTCCAAGCAATATGATTAAAATGTAGATTCTGATGTAGGAAGACCTGGGGTGGGGCCTGAGGATTCTTGACTAGATTCCAGTCCTGCCCAAGTGTTGCAAGGGTTCAGAGCCCCTCAGACATACTTGGTCCTGATACCAGGGAGAGGCCTGGGACCCCGGGAAAGGAGTGTGAAGGTTAGGAGGCATGTGGAACAACACAAACTGCTACAATTCAGGGTTCAAGTGTTTGAGAAGGGTTGGGGTCCCCCTGAGGTGCAGAGCCCCGGAGATTCAGCCAGTGCAAAGGCTCTACCGGAGGCGGAGAGCGAGCCTGGTTTTTCCCAGTGCCCTGGGAGTCCCAGTTGCTGACTGATAAAGCAGAAGCCCTGGCCCTCTGGCCACCCCACCCTCCTGCCTCCTTCTCCTGCCAGGGACTAGACCAAAGTCCAGGCAGGGTTGCCTGTGATTTATGGCCCCATAAACGGAGTCCTCGGGGACAGAGGCAGCCATTGTTCACCTCGTTAAACTTTATTTACAGGGCTAACGAGGGCTCCCCCACCCCTAAGGCTGGCCAGGCCTCCTTGAAAACCGAGGCTGCCCACCCCTTGCCCCCCTGCCCACCACTGCTAAACCCTAAGGCTTCTGTAGAAGGACCACTGCCTGTAACAGTAGCTGGACCTCTCCCCATCCCTGGGAGAAGGACCTTATTGGCTGGTTTCAGAGTAGGCCGCCCCCTCCTCCAGCTACCCTCTGAGCCCCAGGAGTGCAGAGGAAGGAAAGAGAAGCAAATGTGTATTGTGTTCCAGCTGTGTAATAGGAACTGTGCTAATTGCTTTTATACACCTTGCAGGCTATTTAATCCCCATAAGAATTTTGCTAGGTGAATTATTTTGAACCCAATTCATGGATGAGGAAACTGAGGCGCCAGGGTAAGTCACACATACAGTTCACGGAGGGGTTTGAAGCCACTAATAGAAAGGCAGAAGATAGCTGTTTTAGCTCAGCTGGGGCTGGGACTTCACAGTGAAAGGTCCACTGTCTATGCGACACCAAATGAGCCCCGAGAGTGGAGGGTAAGCCATAGCCCATGGGTGGGGCGGTCACTCACCGGCACTGCTGCTTGTGGCGTTCTGCAGGTACTGCCCACTCCGGTACAGGTGCAGCACCATCTCCAGCTGGGCCAGGGTCTCATCCACCCCCCAGGTGAGCTCTCCTGCAAAGTGCGTTGCAGCTGTCATGGCATCCCCAGGCTCCTGGCCTTCCCCATGGGAAGCTAGCTACTGTTCTTCCTACAGCCAGTCTGGTGGCTAGGGAGGGCCTTTATCACAGAACATTGCCTTAGAATATAACAGGTCCCAGACTTCGCACTGCCTAGGGTCATTCTTGTCCCTGTGTCTGATAGGGCAATGGCAGGTGAGGGGAAGCAGACAGGTCATGAGGCTTACCTGTGGCATTGACGATGGTATCCAGCAGAGGCCGGAGGGAAGGAGGGGCACTATGGGGCAGGAGGTACGTGAAGAAGAACCTGTGGCAGAGAGGGGACAGCGGCTCAGGGGCCCAGCCTTTGGAGACATGTCCTTCCCTGTCACTTCCACTAGGTATAGACTTGGATGTGGCCTGGGAGCCTGCCCCCTCACACAGGAACCAGCCATGTCTGCATTATCCCAGGGGCTCAGCTCAGTGAGGCATGGGATTGGGCCCAGCTGTGCCTACAGCTAACTTTGGACCAAACTGGGACCGGAGGCCCCTTTCTTTACCCTTCCTCATCTTCCAGGCCACACTGTCCTCTGTCTGACCCCAGCAGAGAAGTTGGGGCTTCTCAGCCATGAGAAGCTTTGTAAAGGTCAGGAGCTAGGGTGGAGAAGGGACGTGCCAGCCCTGGCAGCCCTGGGCCCTGAATGTGACACTATTTTAAGAAGCCTCCAGCTGCCCCTCCGACCCTGCTTTCCTTAGAGCTATTTTTATCTCCACAGCCACTCTCTCTCTTGACTGGGCCCCTGTGGTTTCCTCTGGTCAAGGTTATTCTCCCTAGTTGGCCTTCTGGCCCCCATGGGGGCTCTTGCTCTGCCAGCCCCTTCTTGGCTGGAGTCCCAAAATGTAGGGTGGTCACCTGTAGGCATTGTAGAGGTTCCGTTTCTCATTCATGCCCTCACACCAGCCCTGGGCCGAGCAGGGCAGGGTGAAGTTCCTGGCTGGAAACTCGAGGATGCAGTCAGCAACAGTGGAGCACGGTGTCTCCTCCACGCGGGCATCATCCAGGTCTGTCACCTTCAGCTCACCATTCACTAGCACAAACTGCCGAGGGCGGAAGTCAAGCAGAGTGACTGAGCCCAGGGGGGAGTGGGCTAGGTGGTGGAGGAGGCGGCCGAGGCTGAGGCAGATCTGAAGACAGACACAGAGGTTGGGTCAGACCTACTGGACTTGCAGCTCTAGATTTAGCTTGGAAATTAGCCTTTCTCCTCTTCAGGTCCCAGCAGAACACAAAGGACGAGGTCAGGGCCTTGGAAAGGTCACTGTTCTTCAGCTGACCCTTGGCTGGACTAAGCATGCACATGGCACGGATTAGGGGTGAGAGAGCGGCAGGAGTGTGCGCATGTGCACCTCCACTGTAGGGAACACCAGGATCCTGTCTTGACTCCCTCTCTCCCCAGCCCTGTCCTTTAGCCATCCCGTGCTCCTCCTCCCTCCTTGGTGGAGAAGTCAGCTAGGCTGTGCTGGGAGGCTGCCTTCTAAGGGAGAACCGTCCCAATGAAAAGCACAGGCTTACTCGAAATCGGTCTTCCCAGGAAGTCTGTAACAGCTGGATCATTTCCACGGGGGCGCCAAGCTCTGTGATGGTGGTCAGTGTGTCCGGGATGTCATCACTGTCCTGGTAGCAATAGCCATAGAGCTGGGGGAAACCCAGGGCAGGTCATTAGGTCACAGGATAGAGACAGGGACCGAGAAAGATTGAGCTATCAGGAGGCTCCGCCCTCTGCCCTTGAGGCCTTCCCACTGCCTTTGCTCCAGCCTGTGGAGAACAGTGTTTCCTGGGAAGTTTGGCCTCTGTTCCTGAAGCCTTAGTTTCTTCTGGTTTGGCAGCAACAGTTTCTTGCTTCTCGTTAGTTAGGGAGATAGGCAGGCTAGGCCACCATGTAGCAGGCACTGTGCTAAATATACTATGTGCATAATCAAGTTCGTATTTTTGAACTTTAACTTATCGTGGTGTGTATGGTATGTACGAGTGTGTGCTCAGGTCAGAGGGCGACTTTCGGGAGTCAGCTTTCTTCTTCCAGTGTGGGTTCTAGGGAGTGAACTCAGGCCATCAGACTTGGTGACATGCAGTTCCACACACCCTGTTACCTACTGAGCCATCTTGCCAGTCTTCCAATTCTTACCATCACCCCATGGTACGTGGCTACTATCATTTTGTCTGATTTGGGGTGGGGAAATTGACTCTAGAGAGTCGCTTAAACAGGTCACAGATCTAATAAACACAGGAGCTAGGATTCAAATGGATGTTACCACGGTTCCACAATCTGGTTCCTCTCCTAGGACACGGGCCAGTAAATGATTATCTGATACCCTCCCCTACTCCAATCTGTGTCCATTTCTCTACCATCTCAACTTTCCGGAGCCCAGAGGCACATCTGAATAGTGACATCCTCAGGGAAGGTCTGTTTGGGGCTGTATCATCATTCAGTTGTTGCACACTTCTTCTTGGAAACACAGAGCCGGCCAGGAGAAAGCACAGGGGAAACCCTTTGCCTCTGACACCCCCATCAGCATTCTTCCAGGTCTCCCAACACACTGCATAGCTCTGGCTTACAATGGGCTCCAAACAGCCAGCACCCTACAGAGCACCAGCACAAAGGCAGGGTTGTCCAAGCCATACAAGGGAAAGTGAAGCTCTCTGCGGTGGAGGGTTGAGATGGAGGCCAGGGAGCCCACGGCCTGAATATGCCAGTACACAGCAGCTCCTCATGCCAGCACCCTCCCCCTCCCCAGCTGCCCTGCTTGTCCCAAAGACCCACTCTTGTCCCAGTAGTTCCGATCCGGTCCCATCAGAGAAGCTAGACTCAGTCTTAGTCTCCCAGGTTACTTGGGCTGTGGCGTGCAGGACCAGGGGCTGTCCTAGGTACCCTCTTTTTCTCTCTCCTTCCATACCCCCAGTCAGCCTAAGGAGGCCACAGACTCAGGATGGGCTTTGGGGAAGGTAAAGAGAGCAACCCTGGGGCCTGGTTCTCATTTTCTTGCTCCAGTCTGAGCCTTTGTGGGAAACTTCTGAAGGTTATTAAACACCCGGAGGTCGTTAAATGCACTGTTAACGAGGTATTAATCAACACTCCTCAGGAAAAAATAAAAAGACACCATTACCCCCCCCCTCCATCCCCACCCCAGGAAGCATGAGGCTGAACACTGCAGTTGTATCTTTTGTTCTTTGGAGAAGAGGAAAACGCTTTAGCATGGTCAGAATCTGAGGCCCAGGCAGGCCTAGGGGCCCATCTGAGGCCTGAGGTCCCAGGATGATGGGCTTCGGAGAGGGAAGATTCTTGTGCCCTCTGACCCTGGACTACAGAGGCATCTATCCTCTGAGGAGAGTGTATGTGGAGGATAAAAGGGTCTAAGTTAGATCCCCCCAGGCAGTCCCCTAGCGACCAGAGCCTGTGCTGGGAAGTGCACAGTGGGTCTCTGAGGCTTCCCTGCGTCCACCAGCAGAGCCTACAGCATAACTTCAGGCTGTCCAGAGAGGGGGAAGGGGTCTGGGGCCTGGGATACTTTAGAAAGTCCTCTGGTTCCTCCCTAGCTCAGCAAACAGTCAAACGGTTTTGAAATTTTCAATGATCAGGAGGTATCAAAACAACATGCCCTCTAGTTCCTGGCATGCAGCTCTGAGGCCTCTTGAGCAAGAAGACCTGCAGCAGGCTGTGTTGGTTACAGGGTTAGCAGAACTGAAGAAACCAGAGGGACATGACCTGGGAGTCAGAGAATAAGTGGGGACCTCACCCTCAAAGCAGTTCCCAAGACTTAACAGGGACTTCCATTTTCTGCTAGGACCCTTATTACTTCTGTTCTAGGCAAACTAACTCTAACCTCAGACTGGAGGCACCACAACTAATTCCAGGAGATGCCATGCTGGTGAGGGCATGGGTGAAAATATGTTCTCTTCCAGCGTCTTGTCTTTCTCTGGTGCTCTCATTATTGGAGGGGATATTGCAGAGAAGGACCTGTCTGTGGGTTTGGGTGGGTGTCTAGCTGGATACTTGTTGAAATGCTTAGTAAGGCCGGTGAGGTAGGAATTCCAGCGGCCTAGGAAAGTCCACCGCATGCCAAACCTGTCCTGTGAAAGGGCCTTGAACAATTAAAGAACACTGAAGGTTTAGTTAAGTTGCTCAAGTCCTCTCCACCTCTGCAGAATCTGGCCAGCACCACAGGGTTTCCAGAAAGTTCCCAAAGACCCAGAAGAGGCAAAGAAAATAAGACCCTCCCAGTGAGAATGGCCACATAACCAGCCGCTCACTCCCTTAAGCCCCAGTCAGTGTTAGCCATACAGCTGGACATAAACACACACATCGGCTAGGACCTTGACAGAGCTTGTTATAAGTGTCTGCCCAGGACTGGGGGTGGAGGGAAGACATGTCCTAGGGAGACTTGGAGCCACCAGGAGTACAAGCAGCATTCTGGATTCTTCTACTCTGCAGAGCCCACAGCTCCCTCCAGGCCTGGGGCCCCTTCTCATTTCTAAGAAAATGGATGGACCGCTGAGTTTCTGGTCAGTTCTTTGCATGCAGAACGGTGAATCTGAGGGGATGTGAGGTGGGTGGTGTGGGCAGGAATCACAGCTGGGGACTCTGTGACACCTATGTCACCTGGCCAAGAAGAGCAATCAGTCATATGTCAGTCAGCTCAGACATATGCAAAGGGAGCCTATGTTTTACCCTAGGCAAAGACCAGGCAGAGCCCTCAGAGAGGGGAAGTTGTTTGTGTTTGGCCAGTGCTGGCATTGTGAAGGCCCGTTCTAAATCTTGGAGGGACAGCGTTAGGGTCAGGGTTGGTGGGGTTGGTGGGTGGCCTCATCCTTCCTGCCTGTGTCCCCAATGACAGGAACAGAATCTCCTACTAGAAAGGTATGCATCTGGCTTTTTGAACCTTCTCATCTCTTGGCTAATCACATTCAGAAGAGTGGCATTCCGACTAGCTGAACTTAAGTCTTCTGGCCTAAGACCCTGAGGCTTCCCTGTGCTTCAGCCGGACCCACTTGAAGTCCCAGGGAAGCCCCTGGTCACTTCTGGGAAAGGCTGTGGATTTCCTGGCCCGCTTGATCCCCTCCAATGACCTGTGAGCAGAGTGAGGAATAAGCGACTCCCTGAGAATCAAGTTAGACATCGGCCAGTCTCTGGTCAGCTCTTCCCACCCACACCGAGGTTCAGCACCATCTCCAAAGGCAGACATGTTACTGGACTTTGAAAGAAGTGGGGTTCAGCCTCTGCCAATATGGGGGATCCTGTTACTGCAGCTGGGAGCTGACTGAAGCTGAGCTTGAGGTCACTATGACTAGAGAGAATACTCTGGTGCTCAACCGTCAGCTTTGGCCAGTGGCAGGGTGCTATGTGGTAATAACTCCTTACTCACTGCCCTACTACCAGTTTGGGGTCCTTCCTGCCCTTGCCTCTGTCTTTAAGGGATGTGTTTAAGTTGGGTAGAGTGTTTTACCCAAAGGGTGAGAGGCAGACAGGGTGATGATGTGCCCTAATCTGGGCTCTGCACCTAGCTGCAACCGGGACTCAGTCTTTGACGCCTCGTGACTTAACTCTGTAAGACCAAGGAGTCTTCCAGAGTGACCAGCCAGCCCCCTCATCCCGGAACCCCACTCTCGTACCTGCAGCACGTTGGGGTGCCGCAGCCGCTCCAGCAGCACCATCTCCTTGAGCAGCTTGTGGGCCGCCAGGCGATAGCAGCCCCTTCGTGCCCCGAACTCCCGCACGCAGCTGCCCAGATCGTGGCCGCTGAAGTCCACTGCTTTAAGCGCCACCGCGGCGCCGCCGGGCAGGCGGACCCGGTATACAGCCTTAGTGTAGCCTGAGCCCACGTACTGCGCGCCAGACACGTTGCGGAGAGCGGCGCAGCCCAGGCGCGGGCCCGGACCAGGGGAGCCCGGGCCAGGAGCAGGGGGCCAGCCCGGAGCGCCGTCGGGCGGGGGCCGGGCCCGCGGGGGCCGGGGACGCTGCAGGCCCAGCCCTCCCGGAGCCAGGTCCATCAGGCGCCTCCGCTCCGGCCGCCCGGCTCCAGGTCCGGGTTCCCCGCGGGAATAGCGCTGCACCTCCTCGTAGCGCGCCCGGATCTGCCGGGCTAGCTCCCCACGGCCCCCGCGACGGCCCGGGCCCGGGGCTGCCGAGGGTCCCGGGGACTGGCCTGGCCTCGGAGGCTCCGAGCCCGGTGCGAAGAGCACGTTGAGAACGGAGCCCAGCAGGAAGGAGGCACAGAAACCCGCGGCCACGACCGCCCGCCGGCGCCGCATCGCTCCCCTCCCCCCCGGCCGGCCGCGCGCGGTTCCCCGGCCCCGGCCCCGGGCGGCTCAGGCTCCGAGGCGACTCCGCTTCGCGCCGCGCCGGCCCCCTACCCAGCCCGCGCGCATGGCCCGGGCAGCCCCGACCCCGGCCCCCGGCGGGCGGCACATCGGCCTGACACTTGCCTCCCTCCCGCCCTGCCCCCGCCGCTTATAAGGCCCGGAGCCACCCCCCTCCCGCCCCCGCTCGCCCGCCCGCCCCTTTGCCAGCGCCTCCCAGCGCCCGGCCGAGCCCGTCCTCGGCGCCGCCCCCTCCGGCCGCCCGGGCCGGCCTTCCCCGCTGACTGACAGCGGGACCTCCTCCCGCGGCCAGCCCGGCCTGGGAAGCGGCGCGGAGGCGGCTCCGGCCCTGCCCAGCGCGCGGCCCCGGGAGCTCAGGCCGGGGAGCGGGGGAGGGGGCGGCGGCGAGCGGCGGGCATGGGTTCCAAGCCCGAGGCGAGGCGGGATAACGGGACCCGGAGGACGAAAGCAGAGCTGGCCGGCAGGGTGCGGGGAGGTGGGGGAGCGTGGAGCGAGGCTGGCGAGTAACGGGCTCCAAGGGACAAGCCACCAAGGCCTGGATGCGGGGGTCATCAGGGTGCACGGCTACCTCCTGGGGGGGGCGCGGGGGAGGGCTGAGAGGCTGCTCTGGGACAGCCCGGGTTCTGGGTGTGGTGAAGGGCGTCGGTTTCGGGAAGGCGGCCCGGCACCTGCGAGAGCGCGAGGGGTGTTGACTGTGGTCTCTGAGTTAATCATGAGCTTTCTGAGAGGTTCTGTTCAAATGCCTTCTCCCAGGACTTTCTAATTTGCCTTGTCCCCGAATCCCTACTTCTAGACAGATGAGCTCCACCCCCATCTCCTAGATCCCCGATCTCTGTCCCGCCAGTAGGGGATTTGGAACCGTATGCACCGAGTGCATTAGTGTCCACGCACGTCCGTCTGTGGAGTGTGGGCATCTGTGTGTCTTGAAGGGGTTACTGTGTCCCAGGAAGGGTGTGTGTGTGTGCCTTGTGTGTAAGTTGGTGCTGACTCCATCAGAACTTCTGGTCCCTCCTCCTCCCTCCCTGATTGCATCATTAGTGCTAATTGAGGGGCTTTCACACGCCAGTGCATTAGCTGTTTGGAGTGAGCTCCCCCCTCCTGCGAGATAAGCCGCTGCCCCTCCCCCTTGCAGCTCTCCACTTCCCTAGGGTCCAGAAACTGTCCACCTAGGTCCTCTCGCCTCCTCTGGCTCCCTCCAGTTTTCCTCTGGACAGGAAAGTCTTTCCCTTCTGGCAGTGTCATGGATAGGTGGAGGAGACTGGGGGAGGGAGCATAGGGGTGGGGAAAAAATTCAGAACCTTCTTTCTGAGGGGCTTTTTAGGGAGGGGAGGTTTTCCTTTAAGAGGTCTCACATTCCTTTCAAAGGCAAAAAGGGTCTCTGCGATTAGAAAGGGAATAGAAATTTCTATCTAGTTCTTTCGTACATGGAAGGTGAAGTGGGGGGCAATTTTCTTATGTTTAGCCTGTGATCCTATTGAGTAGGCCTTCTGGATTTGACTTTGTGGTCCCCTAAGACTCAGAAAGTGGGGTCCATGCTATCTTATTAGTCATGGGAAAGACAGGTTGAAGGAAGCCATGATTCCCCCTGAGAGATTTGGGTTTGATGAAGTCCCGTGCTTCGGTCTGTTCCTGTTTAAGCTGCTCCGCCCGTCCTGGCCCATAGCTGCTGGGAGAGTGTGTATGTGTGTGTGTGTGGGGGGGCGCTCTGAGCAGATGCCCTCCCCAGCCCTCACACCAGATGTCTTTGGTCTAATTAACTGTGCTGAGAAAACCAACCTGGGTTTGTAAACAGAGCTACTGGCTAAAGTCAACACGGAACAGCAGCAAACAGTAAACAGTCCCCTTGCACACAGCCTCTATGGTGACCCAACCCCCACCCACGAGGGAAGAGGAGGAACCGGGTGGATCAGAAATCGCCTATCTGCCTGGGTGACCCCAAGATGACTGCCATTTCCTTGCCAGTTCCACAGTGCCTACTCAAGAAGTGTGAGGACCAGCTACCATCCTCAGATAGGTCTACCTGCCTTCCAGCAATTTCACAGGCTACCAAGTCAAACATGGCCATCTTTGAGAAAGCCGTTGTGGGGGGCATATTCCTTGAAAGGCTTTCTTTGGATCCTCTGCGTGTTCATGACTCAGAGAAGCCTCCACGGGGAGGGATTGGTATTGTGGGTTTACAGCGCAGAGTTGGTGAATATAACGTGAACATTGTTAATTTCATTACACATCGTGTAGGTATTATAATAACATGTTCTGAAATTAGATAATTATCCCTATGATATCTCTGCCAAGCTTTGGTATTTCTGTTATGGTTTGAAAGTTCAGTGCACGAGGGCCAGAGAAATAGGCACAAATGGACACGTGTGTGCACACCCAGAGCCCTGAAAACAGGAGTCCTCCCTCCCTCCCGGAACAAAGAGCCTTCTTTGCACTCTGTGTCCTTCAGCCCTCCCTCAGACACACAGACGTGCACCATCAGAGAAGGATACAGGATTTTGGCTCCTAAAAGAAAGAGATTAAACCTTTGGCACTGACAGTTCTTAACCAAGTTTTGATTGTTTGGCTGTGTGTGTGTGTGTGTGTGTGTGCGCGCGCGCGCGTGCGTGCGCGCCACCCAGGGAGAGGCATTATTTTAAAGAACTGGGCAAAGCTACTGTTCCCTCATCTATGTTTGCCCAGCCATCCAAAGAAAGGCCAAGCAAGGCCCACACCACAGCCTGTGCCTCACAGGCCAGTGTCGAGCTCAGAGCCTGGTGCTCTTTTTCAATACCAGCATCCCCTTGTTCCCACTCTTTCTCCAACTCCAACCCCACCAGGAACCTTTAGACCATCAATAGCTAAACAAGGCTCCATGCTTTAGACTCACTGTGTTTTCTTTCTCTTCCCTTCTTCCCACTCCAATGCAACAAACTAACCAGGATGTGGTGCTTGGGAAGGAGGCAGCTGGCCTAGACTCTACAAGGCTCCCTTATCCGGGATTTGCTTCTAGCTACTTCCTTCATAACATTGACCCTCCTGGGCTGCTTGTGTTGTGCTATCCATTGCCTTCCAGCCCAGGTCCCTAGCACCCCTGGTGGAGTGTTTTTCCTGCTGAAAGAACTGGAGGATGAACTGGACTGGTAATTCAGGCCTCCCCGGGCTCCCTCTAGCTCTCCATGCAGCCTGGCCCTCACCTTCCCATCGTAGAAAGCCACGTTCCCCAGCCTTGAATCAGGTGCTGCCTCTTGGCCATCCTCTGCCTCCTTCCATGAGACCCTTCTCTTCCAAGTCTGCCTTCCTGGAGTGCCTTCTCCCAGCCCTTCCCTCAGTTTCCTTAGCTGCTTCTTCATGCTTTTCCAGAAAGTAGAAAGCTGGAGACAACACTTCTATAACCAGGATGCTTGTGTACTTGGAATCCTGAGGCTTTACTTTAAGAAAATGTGCACAGTCCTTTGCTCAGGTCTAGGAAAAGTGTGTAACGAACTCTGGATTTGAAGTCAGAGATTCAGTCTCAGTTGAGAGTCCTCAGCATGTGCAATCTAGTATTAATAATAGCAAATAAACGTTTTTGACATGGTAGGCAACGTGGTTGGCTATGATTCTTTCTCACAGCAGAACTGGCTTTGACTCCTTTGCCCTGTGGTTTCTACCAGAGAAATTGCTCAGGCTTCCAGGCTCCCTTCAAATTTGGAGTGTTCACTTTTTCCAGAACCAGCAGACTAGCAGTTCAGACTAGCAGTTCATCAGAAAGGCCCTTCTCCATATTATGATGAGTTAGCAGAAGGCCTGGCATCAGCCTTCTGATGCCACAGTGGCCAAGAGCAGGGTCCAGCCTCAGCTCTGTCCCGCTTGGAGCCAGCTACTCAGGGAGGGGGGGAGGGGAACTACTTTCAAAAGGAAGAAAGGTGAGGTGAGCACAGCTAGGCAACCTCTTCCTTCACCCCATCAGGTAGGAAGTGAAACTGACTTTTTCAAACAAGACAAAACAAAAACCCAACAACAACAGATGGTGGAGGTCGTGTTTCTGACATACAGGACATAAAGGGAGTCCCAAATCGGAGTCCCCAAGAAATTATGGGAGATGTCGATGGGAGAAAGACAGGATGGAGATGGAGTAAGATGCAGAAACATGAACAGACCAAAGCCCGGAATCTCTAGAGAGGTAGTCAGACAGAGATGGAGAGAGCTGTGCTCAGGAGAGATGGCAGCTTTCTGGAGAAAAGCTTGGTTCCCTTGGGTGGGGCTCTCTGCCTGGAAACTTGAGCCTCTTCAGCCCTACAACTATGTCATGGGGCCAGGCCCTCTTTCAACACAGGAATCAAAATGTTCTTGGGCTCCTGACGCTCCCACAGCTTGGCCTGTTCAGTGGCCTTTCCTCCTTGTTCGCTGCCTCCTTTCGGCTCAGTGCACCCACTTCTCAGGATGTCTATTGGTGATCTCTGCTCCCCTCCATTTTCTGACTTTCTAAGGTTGTACTTTCCATGACTACACTTTCTGGTGCATGTCTCCTGGGAGAAGGCGTAAGGGGTTGTCTTTGGGGCTGGGACCCTGAACTGAATAGAGAAGCAGGGAGGTGGGAAAGAAAAACATCAAGGGCCAACCTCTAGGGCTTCTGTCTATCCTGGGGTCTATCCTGGGCAGATGGAGTGGCAAGCTGAGAGCCAGAGAGAGGCCATGGGAATGGATAGACCCTGGCAGAAGCTGGTGAACCCGAGGCCTTCTCAGGGCATACAACAGCCAGGTCTGGAGGTATGCATGCAGATATAATATATCTAGAGATATATCACATCACATCACACACACACACACACAGAGGCTAGAGATACTATATCACACCTTCTCTGGCCAAACAATGCTCCATGAATAGATAGAAGAATGTTTCTCCTAGACCTTGATCAAAGAGAAGGAATCCCCCCACCCACCCCCCGCCTTAGTTTTTCAAGACAGGGTTTCTCTTTGTAGCCTGCCTGTCATCCACCTGCCTCTGCCTTCTGGATCCATTCTCTTTGCTGCAGCTTGGGAAGTGGAGTGGGAATAAAGAAGGGGGGGGGGTCACTGAGTGTGCACCTGACTCTAAACTTACAGAGAGTGGGCAGTTCTCATCTGAT